TGCGACATGGAGTTGAGTTGCAATCACGTTATTAGAATGATGGTGTAATCTAAGTTGACGTGCAAGTACGACTTAGTAACAATCCAGGATAAGATGATTCAAATATTTTATCTCTTAAAACTTATTGTGCGCTACTGTGTTAAAACACAAAATCAGAAAACTGTTAGAAGAATAAAAGAAACTGGAAAAACAGTAAAGAATAAGAAATATTCCGAGACCACAATTTGCTTGTGTGTCCTTAAGGAATTATAACCTCCTCACACGTTGCCAAGGTAATGGATTAAATCCTCCCAGGATGAAACGGAATAAACCTTCCTGCAACAGTGGCAATACAAACTGCAGGATACTAATGAACTCAAATAACGGAGCAAAATCACACTTATGAATTTGAGAGAGAAAGACTCCGAATTCGAATGCAGTATTTTTCCAGAAAGAAGGAAGTTATGTAGTGTTTTGGTGTGTTTTTTGTATATTAAAAACGAAGCCATGCCTCAGAATTTATACGCAATTATTGGAAGAGGTGTGATGTCTGTTCTGGAAAAGGTGTCTGTTCAGATTTTACGCGTCCTGCCGCGGTTACGCCAGGACCGCGGCCAGAGTGGTCCTCTGAATCTGCAGAAGCGTTCTGGCGCGGTCCTACCGCGGTTACGCCAGGACCGCTATCCTTCTGAATCTTCAGCAGTGATCTGACATTTAATTAATTATTAAATAATTAATTAAATAAATTTTGTCCAAAAATAATCTTATCGATCGTTTTCCAAATCCAAATCCAAAGCTGAGCCGAGCGACGACGACAGCGCGAGGGTTCATTCTCTTCAACTCCTTTTAAGAGCTTTAAGAAGTGATTCTATATATAAGCACACAAATGTAGTTGTTCCTCACCAATGAGGGACAAAGTGTAAGTCAAAAGCTCACTTCATTCAAATTTTTATTTGCCTCCATTTTATTTCCCACCATTTTCAATTCACACTCTTAGACTTTAAAGCCCAATGCTTAAAATCTTTGAAGCTCAATGCCTTTAAAGTCCAACAAACTCTTCCACCACCACCACCTATAAAGTGGTCAAAATATATGCGATTAGGTTTAACTCCTGTGAACTTAGAGGAGTCAATGAACTTGCTACATTAAGACCCAAAAAATTGTGTAATCTCCCAAGGTGTTAGCCTCCTTCAATTCACACATGATTACATCTAACAGTTTGTTTGGATGGGTGTTACCCATTGTATTGTATCATATTGTTACTTTAAATACGGTATTTAATTTGTTTTGATTGTTACTTAAATTTTATTATATCGTATTGTTAAATCCGCCGTTACATAACAACGAAATGTGTCACTTTATGTAACGACCGATTTGGTGTGGTCGCACCGTTATCTTGTATTTTTCTCTCAATCTCACCCTTTATTATTATTAAATAATTTTATTTTAATCATTTACCCTACCTTTTTGTATAATAATTTTACCATGTATCATAATTTTTCTTTATAATATTTATTCTTTATATTGCTGGTGCATGATATCATGATGCGATGGCAAACGATATAATCTATCCAAACATTACTTTTATCAAACAATACAATACAATACAGTACGATACATTATGAAACGATGCGTAACAACCATCCAAACAAGCTGTAACTCAAACACTTCAAACTTAAAAGTCCCAGCCCCATATCCAAATGGGTAATAATTAATTATGATCTAGCTTGACGAGGTACTCAGTCTCACCAACCATTTTATCTTTAAAGCATATAAGCTCGCGTGCTTCTATATTATATATCAACGTCATAAATCACGTATCATATTAAAGAATTTTTAGTTGAAAATGGTGTATTATAAGCCTCAAAATCATTTAGAGAGCACAATTATAATTGATTAACTAAGATAACATTCATACATCTCCAAGATTACAATGAAGAAAAATAAATAGACCAACTTAGCTTCAAACTAATAACTCGGAAAATAAGAAAATCACCACATTGAAAAGAAACAATAAAGAAAATATCAATCACATAATTAGAATGATGGTGTAACCCAAGTTCGCGGGCAAATAGGACTCAATGACAATCCAGGATAAAAAGATTCATTTTTTCCACTTTCAAGATCGTAAGCTCCCATATCTCTTCCGCCCCCTCCTTCAAATATACTATAGAGATAAGTCCAATCATTAGTAAAATATATGTGATTTGGCTTGACTCCAATAAACATAGAAGAGTCAATAGAACTTGCTCTATCACGGCCCAAGAAAATCGATGATTCTCCCAAGGTATTAATCTCCTTCAATTCACCTTCAATTACATCTAATTCAAATACTCTAAATTTATATATAGGTTTCAACACCACCATTTGGACCCTCTGAGGCAAATCGGCTAACCAATAATAGTACACCTGATACCTCAACTAGGTAGAACTGAACTAATGGCCGTTTAAACGTATCATCCTCGAGCTCAAAAAAATCACATGACTCTCCAATTGTTACATCATAAACCCAAACTTGGCCAGAGTAATACACAGCATAAAATTTACCCTTATAGTATTTGAGACTGGCAACTCCACCAATTACATTAGATCTGTCGATTATAATATTAGTCCAGTTGAGATGTCCAAGTCACCAAAAAGCAAACAATTTTTATATCCATAAAAAGAAACCATTAATACATAATCTGATGTAAGAGAAGGGCTAGCAGATAACACAACTTGATCGATGCATGGATATCCTTCATCTGTATCGTCGCAATCAAAAGCCAATAAGGCCTGTTGTGGAGGAAGTTGGATTAGGGTACGGGAAAAAGGATGCAACAAGCTTACCTCTCCGGTATATGCCGCGGTACAGATCCATCCCTCTGATATAAAACATTGTCGCACTTTAGCTTCGGGAAGAAATATACGTGAAACGACTTTCTGTTTGGAAAGAGAGTAAAATTCTCGATAATCATCGTCTTTATCAGCTAGCATTAGCAACGGAACTTGGGGCGACAACACATCAAAATTTTCCTTTGTAGCAGCAGTTCGCCACGAGGTACAAACAGCACCAAAAGCAATGAAATATTCGATCACTTTAACACGCTTTGCAATCGGAACAAGGAGGTCGTATGGTAGTTCTGCCCAGTTCGCCATTGCTTAGCTTATAAAAGAAGAGGCCGCGGGAAGAAGGAACAAGGCTGCAATACACATACAAAAAGAAGGCAACGTCTGTTATACATTATATATGTAGGTGGCACGGTGGTGTAACAAAAGGCATATTTATATACCGATTTTAACTAGAACTTGGAATGGATTTAGGTTAGAACCAAGCTTCCAAGTTAAAATCCTTGTTTTAGTCCATAACGTTTCACTTCGAAGAATTGTACAATAAGTAGTGCAATACTTTTTATTTTTTAAGAACAATCAAGCTATAAGATAAATGCAATAACATGAGTTTAAATTACACAATCGTTATCATATGATCAAATATTCGTAAGGAAATTTTACCTCCTATGGCAAATGTATACACACTATTTATTATAAATCATAATTATTTTAAAATATTATTTTCTATAACTATCTTTTATATTTTATAGCAAAATAAGTATTTACGGTATATACTACCATTGAGGCATGAAATGCGCTATTTATGTTTTTCCTCCCTCTTAGACAACTGGACATACCTATTTTTAAGGTGATTGATGTTACTGTATTTATGAATACATGGCGCGAATACATGTGAATACATGCGCATACAGCTGGACTGCCCTGATTTTAAGCGTTTTTTATTGTTGTATTCACGAATACAGCAGCGAGAATACATGTGAATACATGCGCGTACAGCTGGACTGCCCAAATCTTAGGCGCTTTTTGCTGTTGTATTCATGAATACATGCGCGTGCAGCTGGACTGCCCTAATTTTAGGCGCTTTTTACTTTGTATTCATGAATACAGCAGCGCGAATACATGCGCATACAGCTGGACTACCCTGATTTTTAGCCGCTTTTTGCTGCTGTATTCATGAATACAGCAATGCGAATACAGCGAATACACTACCGTAACAACTGAACAGTAGCTATAGGAAATAATTATTAATATGGTAGTTATAGGAAGTTAATAACCACTAAACAATAGCAGTTTCTAAAAATTCCTCTATTTGTAACTATGGACCCGTTTGGCCATAAATTTTGCCAAATAAATTTGGATTTTATTTGGCAAACACATGTTTGGCCATAGATTTTGCCTACATTTTGGCAAAATCTCAAATCCCAAAACCAGAGTAATAGCTGGTTTTGGGCTAAAATATAGCTATTACATTTTTTAAAAATTGTCCCAAACTTTTGTATTTAATAAAAGAGCCCACAATTTATTATTTTATAACAATGTTGTTTCATCTTCTCGATTATCTGATAGTGTATCATGTAGTTCAATTATAAAAATAATAATTTTATACCAAATTTATTTATGGTTTGTGATAATATAATGAATGTTATTGACAATGGTACCGTAGAGTATTTGTGATATATAGTTTTTAAAACTTATAGGTATAAGTCATGTTTCATGTCTTTCCAAAATAAATTTAGAAAAGATGTTTTGAAAACTGATGTCCAAACACAGGTTCATCTTCAAACCAAACTTCACCCAAATCAAATTTGGAAATCTATGGCCAAATGCTAGCTAAGTTATTTCTTTTTTTTTTTTTTTTTTTGATAACCGTAGTATCCGGGCGAGCTTGAACTCGACTAATTCCATGGGATACCCGCCACCTCCCACCAGCAACAAGTATCAGGTAACTCTATCCACCGAGGCTTGGATAGATGAGAAGAAATCACCTAATATTTTTTGCCTCCGCTAGGTTTTGAACTTGAGACCTCATGGTTCTCACCTAAGTTATTCCTATTATACAAATATGATATCTCATCGCATCTCACCTAGTACTTCTTTATAGACACCGATACCTAGCCTGAATTTAGTGTCACTATTATCGTCAATTTTGGAACAACTGATAGTACTTGACCAACTCCAAAAATCATTAGTTGAGCCAACAACAGCAGTTCAAACTGCAAGTTTAATAACATGTCGTGCATTAAAAACATGCTGTATTATTGTGGCAGTTCTTACAGACATGATAATGAATACCAAAAGTCCCAGTACTAATAGTACTAAGATTTACTTGGATTATCAAAGACAACTTTTTCTGCAACAATTGATGAAAGCACTCGGAAATGACATGCGAAAATTGTCCCAAAAAACAAGAGAGAACACAAAATCACTCTGCTTTGGCTGCATTCTGCTGCAAATATCTGCAGGGAAAAGAGAGACCAAAAATATCAGATGGAAAGCATATGCTGCAAAAATTTATTTGATTGTAACTGCAAGAACAAGCTTCAAAACCACAACACAGTCCTCAAATTCTCTAGGTTGGCAAGAATATTTATGTCGGTAGTTTCAAGATCATATATAAGGTTATAACAACTACCCAAACCGAACCACCAATTCCCTCCCCTCTCAGATGAGAGAAAGAGGGGGGGTTGAGTAGGTGGCTATGCTAGCTTAAAGAAGCAGACTAAGCATCAATTTAGTTTTCCGCATCTACCAACTACTAATACTACTACAACGCCCCAATGCCAAACTAGTTAGGGTCGGCTACATGAATTCACATTGACCATGTTACTCCCATTTATACTCATCTCAGGCCAATATTATATAAAATTAAAATAGTAATAAAACTAAAAATAAAAGGTACTAAAAGGGCAGCCCGGTGCACAAAGCATCCCGCGTTCACGCAGGGTCCGAGGAAGGACCGTACCCCAAGGGGGTGTGATGCAGGCAACCTACCCTGATGCAAGCATCAATGGCTGATTCCACGGGTCGAACCCGTGACCTGTGAGTCACACAGAGACAACTTGACTGTTGCTCCAGGGTACTAGAAGTTCTAAATATTTACTACTGACGTATAAATCTTTCACTCAAAAAGTATAGGACGTAAACATGTTTCTCAACTAATGGAGTATCTCCTATATAAAACTGTCAGGTATTTTTGACAGCAAACTAGAACTTTGAGCATGTTGTCGACAACTCTAATGCCTGAGGGTGCAAGTGCTCATGGGCAAAAAATCAGATGTGTGGTCCTAACCTCCACTTTTAATTTTTTTTTACCAAATTAGAGAAATAAGTCTCAGCCCTCCAGCTGCGTTTGGCTATGGACTATGGGACTCTTTCAGTGGTGGAGGTACTGGAGAATAAAAACCGGACAGAGAGAGGGGTTACCTAAAGCATAAATCTTTATCAACCCTTTACCCTCCATTGACTGTATTATCTATTAGGAATACTGTTGAGAGAAGTGTAAGTCTATGTCATGCGTAGAGGCAAAATGAAATCAGAAGGTAACAGAATGTTCCACTCTTTTAAGTGCAATTGATCACTTACCCTTGACTTTTTGCCCAACGTGATAGTTGATAGAGTTGCACCGATTCATTCGAGGCATGGCATGCCAGAAGAAGATAATTCCGAGGCTGTACCATCCATGCAAATCTCATGAACAATGCAGAATACACACACATCGCTGCAATACCAGAAGGAAGAGAAGGATGAGGGCCTATATCATTTCAATTCAACGTCCATTTAAGTACAAATTTTCTACCTGAGGTCATGTTGCCTGATATCATCTCTGGTGGTTTCTGTGTGTCGACCAGTCCCTGCAAAGTACAACAATGCAAACTCAGTAGAAAGAGTTATATAGCAGGAGACAATAACAGAATTTAAATTTTGTAGTGGTAAGGCATACTGCAATGACAAATCCCCAGTTGGCTACAGGACCCCAAAAATGAGTTGTTTTAGGGCCAACAGGGCTGTTCAAAAATGCCTTGAATGCAGCCATGTGTGACGAGCTATATGAAATATCCTGCAATTGTTAAATAACAACAATTGAGACATAAGCCTATGACAATAGTTAGTATTAGATTGAGTATTGTCAGAAGTGTTCAAAGCTAGATATCCTGTTAATAATTGGATACGACTAATATAGCAGCAAGCAGCAGCAAAGATAACACATAGCGTTCTGAAAAGGATAAAGCTAAACATATTTACATTTATGTGACCTGTCGGGAATTAACAATAAGCACTGCGAAACCACCACATCATCAATCACCACCATCACAACTACTACTATGCCTCAATCCTAAGCAAGTTGGGGCCATTGCAAGACCGCCACCAATGGACAGAATTTTCAATATACCAAAAACGAGATTGCAGACAATATCATATAGGAATTTCAAGTTTCTACCACTAATAATATATCAATCTTTTAGATGCAATAATCCAAAGAATCGTGCCTTTTATATCCTTCAATCATGTACAAAAAAATAAAGAAAAAAGCAGCATATGGTGGTAGTCGCATTTCCTACAGAACTGTTCCAACCCCAATTTACAACCCACTACTTTTCAAATAATTTATAGTTTCAGGCAATCTTCAACTTGTAATCAAAAACAAACCAAAAAGATGCTTTGGTTAGAGGTATGAATTACTCATGCTTCTAATACCCTTAAATTCTCTTACTCACAATCCCATGTATCCATTCCACTGCTTCTGATTTTCTTTTTGATATAGTATTCCGGTGCTTCTGATTTGAACATAGGGCAAAGCTATTTAAGAGAGAGGATATGAAATCATAATATAGGTATAGAGCTATTTATTTTTATTTTTTTTGAGAATAAGGTATAGAGCTATTTATATAAAAGAAAAGAGGCTACAGACTTTCTAATGATTTTTTAAGGGAGTTTCTTTTGGATGCTAGATTGATTTGTCGAGAAAGTTAAACAGAAAATAGCAAAAATGATCTTAATGTGTCATTAAGGCAAATATTTTGCAAGTAATTAGCTGCTCTTTCACCAGCTCATCCGGCACCTACCACAGTCACTTGAACCCCATCCCGATTAAGATCGCCACCTTATGAAAAACCATCTCCGCAACCATTTACTTCCATCTTCAAATCTAAGGAATAAAATCCTATTCACCACGAACAAGCTACCAACCAAAGAAGGTCCAAAGGACAAGCTTCTATGAAAATACATACGTAGTAGTGAACAAGTGCCATCTTTAACATAGCAAAACATTCGCAAATTCACAATTTCGCAATCAAAATAAACTTTTATTAATTCAAATCTCCACACGCATCGTTGGCTATCTGCACCTGTCAATCAATACTTAGCCTCAATCCTAATCCGCTTGGCGTTCGTTACATAAATCCTCTACATCCATTCCGCTATATTTGCAATGGCAAATCTATGTACGCCGAAGGATGGTCAGTTGAACACCTTTCGCCGGAAAATTATACTGTGTATATAGGTCAAATATTTCTTTTTACACACACCTTAGCAGAATTCCTGGCTTCGCCGCTGGCATATTCCGGCCATTTTATTTTCCCCGTTTGCAACCAAGAAACACAAAATCCAAAAATTGAGCAAAAAATTCGTACCCCGACCCCCCCCCCCCCCCACACCCCACACACTAAAAAAAAAAAAAAAACCACCCAATCCAGTATGCTATGGAAAAACTGTTACTTATATATGGTGCTTTCTTTTTGCTAATTAACCTAATAATATTGGGTTTATAATTCATAAAAATCATATCCAAACAAAAAAAAAGATTGTATCTTTCTGTCATAGCAATTATTAGAAAAACAGAAATGCAAACATTAGATTAAAATTTCCATAAAATTCAAACACCCTTTATTTGTAAATTGATTTTACATCTAAAAATATGACAAAGATTGTACCTTTATGGAAGATCTGAAACTGAAGGATGATTCTAACAGTGGCTTCGATTGGCGATTGTGTTATGATGGCAAAGTCTAAGGGTGGTACTTTAGTGGTTCGGTTGGTGGTCGTCAAAGAATAATTTTTGTATCGGATGCTGTGAGGAGCACTGTAACTTCGGTGGTCTTCCCTTCCCTTAATGACACGTTTTATTGACTTACTCGATTATGTGTAAGTCATATATATTTGGTTCATTGAACTAAAAGTGAGATATAAGGAATTTTAATATAAATTATGTATTTGATTTTACACTAGATAAACACTGATAAATTTTAATTTTAGTTTTAACTTTTGACTTTCTAAAAGGTTTTTGGGAGAAGAGATTTGGAGCCGGGCAAGTGTAGCATAAAAATATACAGTCAAACCTTTCTATAACAGCGTCGTTTGTTCCGAGATGTCTTGGCTTTTATAGCGAATGGCTTTTATACACCTATAACAGCATTTGACGTTTAAATATTTTCTGGCTGTTATAGATCAAACTTATCCAAAAATCAATTAGTTTTTTTTTTAATGTTTTATATAAAACATAAGAAAATTCTTGAAATTTTAAATCTCACAAGATATGCATATTTCACGTTTTCACTAGGGATATATTGAAGAAAGCTAATACATTATTAATAAATTCATTAACTAAACGTACAAAGAATTAAACTCTAAGGCACACATTTTAAAGCTACTAGGAAAATAAATTCTTTCAAGATTGATGGAAGAATGATCACGCCCAACTATGCCTTATAAAAAGGACTAAGCGGTAGTTGCAAATATAATCCGGTTTATAAGTCCGGAGTCGAATCCCACAGAGAACTAAGGCTTAGCTACAGCTGTTTAATATCACCAAGAAGACAAGCTTGAACAATTCCTAACTTATAGATATTAAGATTCTTGTGTTTAACTAATTAACTAACAAATTAAAATAGTAAATTAACAACTAAAGATACTAAGGGTTAGAGACAAGTTTAAGGAGGTCTAGAGTTATTTATTTCCCCTATTGTCGGAATCTTCCCCGCAACGTTTTCTATAAATTCGCCTAAGTATTCTCTACTGATCATGAGCGCTCTGACTGTCGTAACTCTCTCCCGAGTAATTATCACAATTTACTAGACATATTCTCCCGAATTACGCTAGCTGGCATTAAGTACGGCTCACTCGGATCGCACCCAAGGTTTCGTTATCCCTAATCAGACCTTTAAACCCTCCATATTGATCCCTCATATACGTTAGGAGTGATGTTGTCCAACAACTACCTAAATATGCACTCTCTCCCAAGTAATACACACTAAATAGGCACAGTCGATTGAGAGCTCTTCAACCAACCACAATAATAACGTAGTTGAACAAATAGAGAAAATACACAGCAAATCTATATTAAAGTAACAGGAAAATCATCATCCAATAGGTTGTCACGACCCCAAATTCCCAAACTCGGTCGTGATGGCGCCTCTCGTGAAGATAAGGCCAGCCAGACCAAATCGAACACCTCTTTTAAACAGTTAAATACCATAAACAGTGGTTAAACATGATATAATAGTCATAATTTGCGAAAATAACGATAACAATAGGAGAAACCATCCCGACACAGCCCAAATCGTGGTGTCACATGTCATGAGCAACTAAGAAATCCAGATATGAGTCTACTGAACACTAAATCCGGTACAATAGTTCTAGGAATATGAAAAAAAAAATGATAAGATAGGGGAGGCACGTGGGCTGCGGGACGCTGACAGCTACCTCGTAATCTCCAAATCACTGCCTGGACTAGGAGGATCAACACTCAGGAGCGGACTCTGCTATGCCTGAATCTGCACACACAGTGCAGGGAGTAATGTGAGTACTCCGACCCAGTGAGTAATAATTATAAATAATGGGTGAAAGTATGAAAGCACGTAAAGGCACAAAGCAATTCTATATTAAGCAGTAAAATCACTTAAAGCAGTAAATCAGTGAAGAACCCCAATGAAATCTCTTTAAAACAAGTAAAACAGGTAATTTAGCAGGTAAATAACAAGTAGAAATCCGCCCCTCGGGCACAGTGTCACTCACTCAGTACAGTATCAGCCCCTCGGGCTCACTCTCAGATCAAATGGGTACCCGCGCTCACTGTGGGTGTGCAGACTCCGGAGGGGCCCCTTACGGCCCAAGCGCTATATCAAGCCACCTCGTGGCATCATCTCTCGGCACTCGGCCTCACAACACTCAAGCCACCTCGTGGCATATAAAAGTATCTCGGCCCTCGGCCTCATATCACTCAGCATATCCTCACATATGGCCCTCGGCCTCACTCAGTCCGAAAATCATCATAAGCCCCTCGGGCAGTAGCAAAACAGTAGTTCTCAGCCCAAAACATCATTTAGAAATATCATTTAAGTTTCAAATCTGAGTAAAGTGGCTGAGTTTGTAAAACAGTAGATATCAACAGGACTGAGTTCAAGTAATAATTCAAAGCAGTGAGGAAATAGTGATAGAAATCCCCGAAGGGTTCAAATAACTAGCACGAAGCCCAAATATGGCAATTAGCCCAAATCATGATGATAACAAGTAAATTTCAGTCAAATACGTAGTAATTTCATCAATCGGGACGGACCAAGTCACATCCCCAACGGTGCTCTACCCCACGCTCGCTATCCGGCGTGCAAGTCACCTTAATATAGCACTACGATGTGTCAATTCTGGGGTTTCAAACCCTCAGGACATCATTTAACATCATTACTCACCTCGAACCGGCTAAATCTCTAGCTCGCTATGCCCTTGCCTCTCAAATCGGCCTCCTCGCGCGTCGAATTTGACCAAAACTAGAACGAATACGTCATAATAGGCTAAGGGAACAAAACCCAAGCGAAAACAATCAAAAATATCAAAAATCCCGAAATTAGCAAAACCCGAGCCCTGGGCCCACTTCTCNAAATTTTTACATCATTAGATTCCTTATCTCCCCACGAGTTCATATATATCAAAAACACAAGAATCGGAGTTCAATTGACCCCTCAAATCCCCAATTTAGACTCTCTTAATCTCAAGCCCTAAACCTCTATTTTTAGTCCAAAAATTCCTTAATTTTCAGTCCTAAATCATGAAATATCACCACAGAATTATGTTTTAAGTCCAAAATCCTTACCCTATCGAAGTTCCCTTGAAATCTCTCTTCAAAATCGCCCAAAAACTCTAAGTCCGAAGATAAAATGAATAAACCCTTCAAAAATCGCGAAGAAGAACCATTTATACCTTCTGCCCAGTCATAATCGCATCTGCGATCAATTACCCGCTTATGCGGTACCGCTTCTGCGGTCATTTCTCCGCATCTGCGGAATTCACTTAAATCCCGCCTAACTGCATCAGCGGTCCAATAGCCGCATCTGCGGCTCCGTAGGTGCGGTCCCTATTCCGCATATGCGGTTCCTGACCTCACCCCTCAAATCCGCATCTGCGGAAAATCCTTCGCACATGCGATGACGCACCTGCGGTCCCCAAACCGCAGGTGCGAAAACACCAGAAGCAGCAGAAGTTCTGCAGTTACACAAGTCCAAAACTCTTCCCGTTAGCCATCCGAAACCACTCTAAGGCCCCCGGGATCTCAACCAAAAGCACCAACATGACTCAATACCTTATTCAAACTTGATCCAGTCATCTAAACACCTCTAACAACATCAAATTACCCAAAATTCATCGAATTCAAGCCTAAGTTTTCTAAAAACTTCCGAAATACGCTTTCGATTAAAAACCCAACCAAGCCACGTCCGAATGACCTGAAATTTTGCACACACATCCCAATTCACATAACAAAGCTACATCAACTCTCGAAATTTCATTCCGACCCTCGGATCAAAATCTCACCTACCAACCGGAAATCGCCAAAATACTAACTTCGCCAATTCAAGCCTAATTCTACACCGGACTTCCAAAACCAATTCCGATCATACTCCTAAGCCACAAATCACCTCCCGAAGCTAACCAAACCATCGGAACTCACATCCGAGCCCTTTAACACATAAGTCAACATCCGGTTGACTTTTTCAACTTAAACCTTCTTAAAAGAGACTAAGTATCTCATTTCTTACCAAATCCAATCCGAACGCAAACTAAACAACTTGATCACATAAAACACGGATAACGAAGCATAAAGAAGCAGAAATGGGGGAAACGGAGCGGTAACTCATGAGACGACTGGCCGGGTCGTCACATAGGTTCCATCAAAACCCTTGATAACAAATTAGCTATTCATAATAGTATGCATAACTACAATACCAGAATTCATAACCAATAATGGAAAATAGGAAGAAGGAAGTGAAAAACTCGTAGAAGAATTCTCCGCCTTGCTCCTAGTGTGTTCTTGCCTCCTTAGGTCGAATTCCCGGTCTCCATGACGGCTCCGTGCTCTCCCTAGGTCTAAAGTGTGTCCAAACTCGATCCCCTTTCTTCGGTTGTCTAAAATCTTCTCAAAGTGGCATTTTTGGGTCTATTTATATGTTTAGGACAAGCCCTAAACGTGTAGGTCAACTCCTAGTCAAATCGGGAAACAATAAAAACCTTTAAAACTCGGACTGGGCCTGGCCTTAGGCCTGGCGTCGCCTAGATAACGCCAGCCTAGGCCTGGCTTTAAGCTGGCCTCGCCTAGAAAAAGCTAGCCTAGGCCTGGCATTAAGCTAGCCTCACCTGGATAAAGCCTAGTTAGGCCTGGCTTTAAGCTGGCCTCACCTTGATAAAGCCTGGTCGAGCTGGCTTTTGCCCGGCTTCTCCTTTTCATCGTTCTCGAGTGCCCTTTCGACATTTAAGCATCCCTTTAGCTCTACTTTCATTTTCGATGCACCTACACATAAAATAGCGTCCATTACGCTCAAACAAAGTGTATTTTAATATTAAAGCATGTAAAACGCAAAGCATATAATGTGCAAAAACTATGAATTATAGCCACACATCAAAGAACTTTATAATTGTAGTTGTTTCGTAGATTTCATTCTCTTAGTACCGATATAATGCTTGAATTCACGAAGATTCGTGTCCAAATTTTGAGCAAAAAGGTATCCAATGAAAAATATATCATGTGCAGATCTTCAAATCTTGTGTCTTATGC